CAGGGTGGATATAGCTCGCTAGCAGCCTCGCACCGATGACCTAGTTGATGTCATCATTTACCCAGAATGCTTTGTGTGTAAATAAAATGGCTCCGTCTGTGTTAAAATATATTTAAAATAAAATACAAACTAAACATCCTACAGTATTTTTACAGTCCTTATTTTACAGTTAAAATAAATGTTTATCAAATAAAGTTTAATGTTACAACTAATCGTGGATCCCTTTAAACACCTGGCAAAAACGTGACGATTTATTCAGAATATTTCCAAAGTGTTTGTCATTATTCCTTCCGTAACACTGTGAACCATATTCACCCATCAGCTTCTTCATCCTATATAAAGTTTTTTATTGAAAGGATTTGTAGATTATATAGCTCCTGACCTAAAGGAGGTTCTAAAGCCATCCAGAATGAGATGCGAAAATTTTCTGATTAAGGTACACRTTTATTTTGTGTTTATTCAGACATAAAACTGAACAACAGTCTAGGTTTCTGCCTCAGATGTATGTAAATCTCAAGAGTGTAACCATGACAGAACAAAACTTACAGTTAATGAAACTTTTACCGTAAAACAAATACGTTTTTCGAGCTTTATTTTATTGGTTAATCTGGGTGTGGCAGCCTTTGGKACGAGCGTTTACGGTAAATCAAACCCGCCCGTCTGAACAGAGCCGACATCTCGTCCCCTGTGAGAAACCTCCCCAGGCCTCGTTTTCCCGCGACACCTCGAACAAGACCGTCATTCTTCTCCTCCGAACGCCAGGAAGTTACTGTTGAAGCGAGCTGAAGGGGAACAGCTCATTTGCCTACATAAACGCGCAAAAAAATTTGCAAGAAGACAGACGGAGAGGAAGAGAGCGAGCGAGGCCAGGTGAATAAGTCTTCTGTTGGCCGAGGAGCTGCGTCGGTAGAGGAGGGTGGGACGGTGTTTTGCATATTAAGGGTTTTTTTTTTTTTTGGGCTGGGCAGGTGTCTGTGAGATACAGGAGCTGATTAGAGTTTAGCACAAGGAAAATTTGCCCAGCCATGCAAATTTTCCAACCCCCCTGACGAGCCAACCGCCTTGGTGAGAGCTAAGACTT